GGTGCCTTTGCCATAAAGAACTCCATGTAAGACCTTCCAGGTGGACCTGAGGTAGGACTGTAGGGATAAAGTTTAAACTGCTGATGGAAAGGGACTGAATAATGTATGATAAAGATAAATGGTAAGGGGCTGGGACTGGGCTCAGCGGTAGGGCCCTTGCCTGGCATGTGTGAGGCACTGGGTTCAATTCTCAGAACCACATACAAATTAATAAAATAAAGATCTACCAACAACTAAAAAAATTTTTTTTTTCAAAAGAAAAAAGATAAATGGTAAAAGAGCCTCCCCAATTACATTTCCATTCTTCAAGATTAAAAAAAACAACAACAACAACAAGAAAAATATCAGGCTGATGCAAGMAGATCTTGCACAATACCTTGACCAAAAGTAACTGGGACCCTCATTTAAAAGCATTTTCATTACCCGGGCACATTGGTGGCACCTGCCTATACAACAACTTGGGAGGATGAGGCAAAAGGATCATAAATTCAAAGTCAGCCTCAGCAATTCAGTAAGGCACTAAGCAACTTAGTGAGACCAGGACTCTAAATAAAATATTAAAAAGGGGGCTAGGGATTGACTCAGTGATTAAGCACTCCTGGGTTCAATCTCTGGTACCAAAGAAATAAATAAATACATTTCCATGTTAAAAGATACAGGAAGGGGTCACATTTTTGACAGTGTGCACAAACCCATTAAGTGATTTGCAACATAATCATGAATATTGCTATATAACTATAAATATGCAAATTCATGATCCACCCTTTGTTTACCCTTTGACTTCCTTGTCACTCTATCTATGGAGTGGCCATTTTGCTGTCTGGCAATTGTTACTTTAATCAATGCAATAAATAATTTTAACCTTCTCTTTGCTAGCCATGTTTGATTTCTTTCCTGCAACAAACTGAAGGACCTGCTGGGCCACAGACAGACACAGATACACCTTGCAAGGATCAGGCTGCCTCTGAGCCTCTGCACTAGGTGTGTATTGGGCAATACCTTAGGGAAGAGCATTGGAGAGTCCATTCGTGGGATATTATGGTCCAAGAAGCCATAGTGTGAATCCAATCCCATATTTGACTCTTGTTTCCCCATGCCCCAAAGAGCACCTGATTTATCTGAGGCCCTACTACAAAAGGAAAGAGGCTGGGGCTGGGGC